AGTGATACAGAAGCCTAGCCATTTCTGCCTAATGCAATTTTCCTTTAATGAGTCATCTTTGCTCTAGACATCCCCTATGGGTTTGCAGACTTTTGCCAGAGTTATAAAACTGAGGTCTTCCCTGCTGGCTTCCTCTCTTCTTTCACAGGTCTTAAATCTCCATTGTATTCTGAAAGGTTTCCTTGTCCTGTTCTGCTTTCTCTCCCTTTCATCTTTCATAAGTACTACCCATCAAAAAACCACTTCCCCTGAATACTCTATTAATTATATATTTGTTATAGAGTACTCATACCTTTTCCATCTGTGGGGTAGGCCCTTCTTCCCTTTCTCAGTACTCCCAATGTAGTTATGGAGCACATTCTTCAATGGTTCCCTGATAAAAATTTCTTGGGAGGCAATCTTATAAGATATTGTATGCCAGAAAATATTGTACTCTCAGGTTTGACTGATCATTGGGTTTGGTATAGAAGTCTAAGTAGGAAATAATTTTCTTTCAGATTTTTAAGGATATTGCTTTATTGTTTTCCAAGTTCTAGTATTGTTAATGAGAGGTCTGAAGTTATTCTGATTTGTTTTTATTTTTTATACATGATGTTTATTTCTCTCTGGAATCTTGTATTTATTCTTTGATATTATAAAGAGTTCATAATAATGTGCTCTCATCCGGGTCTTTTTTTTCAAGTTCATTAGGCATTTAGTGGGTTCTTTTAATCTGGAAATGCTTCCAGACCCACTGAATAATATAGAAAATAGGGAGAAAAACAGTATCCAAAAAAACAGGGGATCTATCATGGAAGAGAAGCAAAGAGAATTCCCTGGATAATTATCAAGAGGTTTCACAACAATTGCATATAGCAGGCCTAGTGACAATGAATCCACCTTGGAACAGGAGAATGGAGAATTCCTGGACAAGAAGGGATTTAGCTGTCTCCAAGAAAAATAAATGGAAGTTTATTTCCTTATGTATTTGACCATGAATCCTTCAATGTGTAGAATCTTTCAGTTCTACAAAATATTCTTATTTTATTTCTTTGATAGTATTTTCTCCACCCAGCCAGGCATTGCTCAAATAACTGACTCTAATATTGTGGTTGTTATTTTAAGCTACTCAGTTTAGGAGTAGTTTGTTATACAACTATAGGTGACTAGAATAACATCTACTATTTTAAGATGGAAAATAGGATCTAGTGTTAGTAGAACCTGGTTTGCAAGAGGAAAGGATGCAAAAAACAAAAACAAAACCAAAAAAACCAAGAGATAGTTTTTTGGAGGGTGTACAATTTGTAAGGTAAATTATTTTTTATGCAATTGATACTTTATAAATTGTATGCTGAAACTAAGGAATTGATTTGTTTTATCTGAGGTTTCAAAACAGAGAGTGACAGGAAATTGGTACGGGGAGACAGAGAACAAAAGGTGCATAATTATTTCTCCCTTTATCATGTGCATTCCTGACATCTCTGAGGACTAAGATTGTCCTGCAGGGAATATGATTAAAGTTACAAAGAGGAAAACAAAATAAGTAAATCAGCTTTTGATCCTGCTGCTATATTTACCCACAAGAAAGGAGGCAGCTCTCAGGTGGGCTTTTGTCTAAGTAATGTCCTGAAATCCAAGTGTAAAAGAACAATATGAAATCTCAATTCTCCCAAACGGTTTGGGGCGAGTTCAGCCCTTGAGCCCCTGGGAGGCTTGGTTCCCAAGGAGACTAATCCCACTTGCTCAGCATTAGGTATCACTGGAGCAAAAGAACTCTAGTTTGAAGCTCTGTGGAGAGGCCCTAGTGCAGCTTGGAGTGGGGTCCCTCTGCCTCACAGGAAGTGAAATGTATTGATGTTAAAGCCATTCAAGTGAGTGTGCTCACTCAGGGTGTAGGAGGAGGGGCTGATGGGCAAGCAGGAGCTGGTCACTGACTTTGATGAAACTTATTTCATCCCAGATAGAGCTCTTCTCTAAAGGAAAGGAGCTCAAGGAGGAAAGCAATTGAGACCATGAGGTGGGGTCTGCATGTACATTTTAGTTGGATATTGGAAACTTTAAGGATTTATTTTGGTCTCAGATATAGAGCTATTTCAAGCAGAAGTTGTTCTTAGTTGCCTTGTTATCTATACTTTCCATAAATACCATTGCTTTGATATGACCATGCCTCTGCCAAGACTGGTCCCAGCGATAGTGTTTATTTGTTTGGCACACTCAAATGCATCATTTAAGTCTCAGCTCAAATGCTATGTGCCTATACAGCCTTCCCCAACTTCTCTGGGCTGACTTGAAGGTCTTTTTCAAATAGACTCCCACTATTATTCCTATTTTATAGATGAGAAAATTGAGGTCCAGAGAGTTAAGTGACTTTTTTTTATAGTTGGTCAGATAATAAGGGTTGATTGGACCCCAATCTCAATCTCTGCCTCTAATTTCCTCCCTCTCTCTACTATATTACACTGCATTTTTCTAAGTTTCTACAATCCACAAGTATAGCTACTCTCTTGCATTTGAAAACAGTCACTTACTTTGTTGGGGGAAAGAAAAAGTGATGCTAATTTTATAGGGTGATGTATTGGTAAGTAATGAGTGGGGCCTAAGAAATAAAAAACATGGACATTTGTGGAGCTACTTTGGGCCAGGAGCTTTCATATGTAGGATCTCACCACAGTCTTGAGGAATTGAGATGACCTCTACTGTACAGATGGAAAAAGTAAGATTCAGAGGTATTATTTGCCTGTTATGTTATGTAATTCTCACAAAGAACAGTTACGACCTTTCACATTTTTCAGATGAGGAAATTGAGCCATACGAAGATGCACTGACTTGTTCAAGAGCGCTCATCTAGCAAGTGGCAGGCCAGAATTTGAAACTGGCCTCAACTAACTCTAAATCAATAGAACACAAATGATCTGGAAATATAGAGTTTTACATATGAGTCTTTTGATATTCCATTGATTTTGAATATGATTATATTAGAGTTTAGCTAACTCTGGGGATTAAGAGAGATTTTTCAGACTAAAGATGTCAATTAAATGTATTGTCCCACGCAGTCTGTGTCTGGGGTGTGTAAGAGCTGCTCAGTTCCAAGAAGGTGAAAAAAAAAAAAACCCCACAAAACAAACAAACAAAAACAAACAAAACCAGTGTTCTTGGCTGCCAGACTCAGAGGCCTATGGAATAGTCCTGTCTGGAAGGGGAAGGGAAGAGCTGACATCCACATCTGAGGAGTGAGAAACACAACTCAAGGACAGGCCCACACAATTTTTCTGAGACCAAAAGTCACTAAGAATGAAATAGACAGTCTAATCATAGAGAACAAAATCCTGTGTGCATAACTCAAATGAAAGGTACATTATAATTGAAACAACTTGAATTTAAAAAATAAAAAGTTTGTTTCAATTGTGTTGGCTTGGGGTAATGCTTACTTCATCTCTTAAATGAAGAGTATTCCTCTGGCCTTTCTTCTTTGGTAAGGTTGTGCCCTCGGGGTGCTCAAAAATGGATTTGCTACATCCTGAAAAATGAAGCTTAAAGAAAAGAGACTCTGAACCTAAACTATGATAACTTATTTAGAGAACACTGTATCACACACACAGTGTCTTCATATATGTGATCTCATTTAATCCTCATGAACACTCTGTGATAGAGAAGACAGGAAAGGGAACATAGTTACCTTTTTTGTGTTTTAGAGAAATAAGGGCAAATATGCTTCTCAGTTTATGGGACAATCAACAGATAAGGATTTTTTACAGGTTGTTGCCTTTAAATATTACAAGTGACCTGTGAGATAAGCATAGTTTCCTGCATTTTACATGAGTAAGCTAAGGCAGAGAGAGGTTGGCTGGTTTGCCCAAAGCCATATATTCATCAGAGCTAGGATTTCAACCTAAGTCACAGAGCTATTGAGTAGTGTGGGGCTAAGACCAGAACCCAAGTCTCATCTTTTATGCTCTATCATATTGCCCATTTCCCTGTCCCAAGAGGATGGCCAAGGTGAAGCTGGGTCTAAGTGAACTTCAAGGTAGTTCTTGAAGTGCAACAGAACTTAAGGAAGAAAAGCCTGAATGGCATAACTTATAGGTTCCAGTTCATATTTTTTTATAAGATGCTGAGTTTTATACACACACAGGGCTCTTCTCTCTCTCAAGCACTAGTTGGCTTAGGGGGAGCAACTCCTTTCTCTGTTGCTTCCTGCTCTCTATCTACTATTAATAAAAAATGGGCCAAGTGTTGGCCTCAATTTACTATTTACTTAAATTTACTCAATTTAATTGTTACGCTGACAATCAAGGAGTAGAAAAAAGAGCACCCGGCTCAAGAGTCCTGTGGAAACTCGAGTTAAAATCTTAGGACCAAGGCTAAAGGTTGAAAACACTAGTTTCCTTCTCCAACTTATAGGAGGAAAGAAAAAGTAGAGGCCAAGAGAGAATCCAAGTTTTGTCAAGGGCTTAGAATGGCCCTAGAGTCTGATTAAACTGAATATGGCTTCGGCCAACTCACTAAAACTCTCCGAGGCTCAGTTTCCTCGTTTGTTAGGTGGTGATAATCACATGTACTTCACGGGGCTGTTGTTCAAAGGTTAAATGAGGTAACATATGGACAGCTCCTGGCACATGCAAGCGCCCGGTAGCTGGGGGCTGTTATTATTGCTACAGTTGGGAGTGAAGTCAGGTCTCCGGACTCTCTCCTTCTCAGTCTCAGCGGGAGTCTTCCGTGCCAGGGCGTGGTTGTACAGGATGGGCAACCGTCCTGGAGTTTGAGGACTGGCCAGCCCATCTTCACTTGCGGTTGGAGTAACGCGCGCGGTGAAGGGAAACTAAAGGGTTAAGGCGATGAGCTTGAGAAAGCCCAGAAAACTAGAAAAAAGACCCCCCCGCCCACCCGCGCCCCAGTAGCCAGGCTAAATAAGCCCCTCCCCTCCGCCACTGGGGCGGTCGCCGCGCGCTCCCTTCCTCCGCCCCTCGCTTACAAGACCTAATGAGATCCCCCGGGAGGCCGAGCAGCGAGCCGGTCCCGGAGCTAGGAGGCTGCGCCGCACACACCGCGCCAGGGCGGGAGCCGGACCTGGGCAGCGGGCGGGAACCGGCTGGGGGCGCACCGGCTGAGCTGCGCGCCACTGGGGAGCCGTGGCGATGGCGGTGCAGGCGGCACTCCTCAGCACGCACCCCTTCGTCCCCTTCGGCTTCGGGGGCACCCCGGAAGGGCTTGGGGGCGCCTTCGGAGCCCTGGACAAGGGCTGCTGTTTCGAGGACGATGAGACTGGGACGCCGGCGGCCGCGCTGCTGGCGGGCACCGAGGGCGGGGACGTACGCGAGGCCACCCGCGACCTGCTCAGCTTCATCGACTCGGCGTCCAGCAACATCAAGCTGGCCCTGGACAAGCCCGGCAAGTCGAAGCGGAAGGTGAACCACCGCAAATACCTGCAGAAGCAGATCAAGCGCTGCAGCAGCCTCATGGGCGCCGCGCCCCCAGGCCCGCCCTCCCCGGGCGCCGTGGACACGCCTGCCAAGCGGGTGCTCGCCGCCCCCAGCGCTCAGACCGTCGCGGTCCCGGCCCACGGCAAGGCCACCCCTCGGCGGGAGGCGTCGCAGGCGGCGGCGGCGGCTAGCTTGCAAAGCCGAAGCCTGG